TACCTAAAAAATTGGTGGAATTTTCACATCTACACGGACAATTCATTTTTTCACGGGCAATTTCGATCATAATTATCTTCAAAATAATGTTGTAATGTGAAAATTGGGGTCATTTAAAATTCCACAAAATCTGTTTGCATTGGTTTTAATTTATAGAATATCAAAGAATCCGCTGATATAGGTTGAACAATTCCAAAATAATTTGTCACAGAATAAGCTAAAATTAGTTAAGAAAATCGTATCCAATTTTTGAAGAGATAAATATTAATTACTTATGTTGTATTTTAAGGCGTGGGATAAATTTGATTTTGAACAGAAATTGAATGCGCACAAATTTCGGTTATATTTGTTAATGAAATAGAAATTAATTTTGCACAGAATCCGCATGGATTAAGCGCACAAATTCCAGTTATATTGATTAATCAAAACGAAATTAATTTTGCACAAAATTCGCATGATTAAGCGCACGAATTCCGGTTGTAATCAAATCGAATTTAATTTTGCACATAATTCGTTAACAATTTTAAAAATGCAAGGGGAAATTCCAATATTTACGTGATGCAATTATCAACGAATATCTATAGTAATAAATCCCACAAAATCAGATAAAATTGGGTAACAGAATTTCGAAATGCAAGGATGGATGGAAAGCTTAATTACATGATTTTGGGTATTTCCTTAATTTTACGTTAATTAATTTAATTTGTGGGACTTGCATGGTAATTACTTAAAGTAGTAATTGTTACTTAAAATAGTAAGTCAAAGTATTATTTTTTAAGTCAAACATACTATTTTTTAAATATTCCAACAACCTCTTTATATTATTATAGATTTTTTTAACTTACAACATATAACATTAAAAATAAATATATCAATTGAGAAATAATTTTATTTTTTTAACGAATTTTAATAAATATTATTATTTTAAAGAATTAAAGGATTATATTAGTACAAGTGATATTAAAATACCTAAGTTAGCTAAATAATATTTATGGAAAGTCCGAACCTAGATTATTAATTATTAATATATCAATATTATTTGTCCAAATCTAATTACGAAGCACGATTCTTCATCAAGTAGGATTCTGAAGCACCAGAAGCAACCATGTAGGCTCAACGCATTCGAAAATTATATATCGTAAAATAGAGTAAAATAACGTAAAAAAACGTATTATTTCAACATTTAACAGGAAAAACACTAAATATATAAAGTTACGTCGAATTGTTTTGAAAAAAAAAAAAAAAACATATCACGCTGTACCGAGCTACGTAGTGAATTATTTAACACAATGTCAAAAATAAACTCTCTATAAGCATTTAAAAAAAATAACAAAGGAAAAGCATATATTGAATATTGAAAAAACTTCGACACTTCGAACCCAAAAGGAAGCTTACCGTAAAAATGTCGGACTCCGGCGGCGAATCACCTGTGGAAAACCTGATTGGACCTCCGTCGGAAGGGAATATTCCGATATCAAGTGGCCCAATCGACTGGAGCATTCCCTGGACGGACTACGCGGTACAGCAAGCACAAATTGCGAAGAAGACAGTCGAAAGCACCGTAGAGAACGCAGTCGATGTCACCAGATCGCGCGTTGATCGCGTGCTCACCACCTCGTCGGCGCATTTCAATCAAACGATGGTGATGTTCTTTTTATACTCATATTGTGGTTGCCCTTTTATAACAGAGGTAGATGATTGTGAATTTTATTAGCTTCATTATTGAAGCAGAATGTAATGAAATCATGTATATGATGTGTGAATTCGTGTGCTTCTGCAATTTTTACAGGTATCAGACCATGAGTTTTGGTATTTTTGCCAAAATTTTCTGTTTGAGGGTTCATGTTTTTGTTTTATGTGTGAATTCCTTAAAATTTCGTTGTATTCATAAGGTACCTGTACATGGGCTTTGTTTTGTATTGAATTAAAGCTGATATTTCAGTTACATCGTAACGAAATTAACAGAATTTATTTAGTTTGGACGAGCTTAAGAAATCCTTACCCTCCAGTCCAAGTGCAACCATAGGGGTAAACTTGAGTGGTTATATGCTTTCATTCTTGTTGGATGGCTGATATATTTTGTGTCTGGCTAGCTCTATTGCTGGGAACCTTTCATATTTCTCAGACCACGAGTGTTAGATGCGTTTCTAGCTAATCTTCGTGAAGGTTCCCACTCCCTGAATATTATGTATGGATAATTTAGTTGAAATGGGAAAAATGGTGTGACTTTGAAGTTGAACGAAACTTACCGCCACATGTATACAGAAGTGTTTGTATTATAGGATACGGTTGGTTAGGGCTATATTTTTACTCAATGATGTATCAAGTATCTACACAATTCTTATCAATTTACACATATTTAGTACTTATGTGTTAACCTCATAGCATCTTTTGATTGGTCTACTAAGATGTTATATGCATGTGAACTGATGTAGGATTCTTTGCAAGACGTGAAGTCTGAATATATCAAATATGAGGATATCGTTTTCGGGAAGATTAAAGGTATGCACACGGTGGTGGATAATTACGTGCGACAAAATACAAACTATTAAATCATTTCATATGTATCTTCCTGCAATCTTGCTAACTTTTTTCAGAAACAATATGCAGAGGGTTTTCTTTATGCCTATTCACGGCCCCTGATTACAACGGGAGCTGTTCTTGGAGTGGGATTTTTTGGTCTAAAAAGTATGTTTGACCATGTATTGAGCATCTATTGAATGCAACTATTTATATGATCATTTAGTTTCCTCTCGAGTTTGTCTTTAGATGTATCTTGGATATTATCCTGCAGGGACCAGACAATTCTTGTCCTACAGCACAAGGCGCCTCTTTTTCAGTGAAGAGGTAATGGAGAAATGTTATATCTGCTTCTGCTTTTTTCTAATGAGCTGGTTATGTCTACTTGAAAGTTTGCTTAAAAGTTTTTTTAGTATTAAGGCAGCTGAAACATGATATCTTTCTCTTATACATTTATACATGAATATAATTTTCTAGATGTAGATGCAGAAATTGTTTTGTTTAGTAATATTAAATACTTTGTTATATTAGGAAGCAAATTATTGCCTATTACACTAAGTTCAGCATTTCAGTACCAGAAGCTAATGGAAATGGATTAACTTTTTCTGTAAATGTTTTCTTCATGTAGACATTGCTCGCTAGAGCTGATGCAAAAGTCAATAATTTGCGGGAATCAATAGATCTTTTGAAGGCTGAAAGCGTAAAGCTAGAGGTACTAGTTTTACATATCTCTCTATTTTCTCCACATATGCCTTTCATTTTGCATTCATCATGCCTTGTTATTTGCATTGAAATGTCTTGTGCTTTCTCATTGCTGAAATTGAGACATCGAACAGAATATATTAGGGGGGGATTCTGCTCCCGAAAGTCATTTCCCTTTTCACATCTTTTATGATTCATGACGTGCCTTTTAGAAATTTATTAGTTTCTTCCAAAATTATTTTTCTTAGTTATATTCTTTTGTACATTGCTAAGGAGGGCGGGCCTGGTGACAATTCTGTTGTCATTTACCTTGCATAAGATAGGCATTCAACAACAAGGAGTTTCTTTTCTTTCATGGTTTCTTTACTTCCTTTGATTTTTCCCTTTCTCTTAAAAAAGAATAATAATATTGTTGGGGTTGAATAACGAATACATATTATCTGAGAAAGGCTTTGGCTTATAGTAAGTTTATAGCTCCAATCAACAGTGGTAAAATAGATAAAGCAAGCCCTTATCATTTCTTGTATATATGTTCAATCTCATTACGTGACATTTTTTTTTTTAATGCTAATGTTCACAGAAAAAGGCGTTGCAAGCTGAAGAAGACTTGGTGAGAGGGAGAACCAAGCTAAGGTCTGAATTTCCTAGAGAAAAAATGCATTTTCGGAACTTCTTTTACCATAGTATTTATAGAATCTTCTGATCTATCCTTCCTGCTAAAAATTGTCTAAATGTTACAACCAGACAAGCTGGAAAGCAAATACAGGGTGTCATCAACTCTGCCTACAAGATAGAAAGGCAAGCAAGAGGTATGTGCCGTTTGCTCTGCATATATGCCTGTGTTGTCTGCAAACACATGCACTTGCTTACAATCTCACATGCTTGAAAAGCTTTCTTCTCCATCTTTGTCTGAACGTATAAATATTGCACCAGGCTTGAAGGATGTTCTCAGTGAGCTTCCTAGTATAGAAGCATCTCGATTTCGAAGACAAGTAAGTCATTTTTTTCACATGAATCAGTTGGATATATAATTATTCATTGCAAATGGCCTATAAATAGAAGCCATAATTTATGGCTTTTCATATGTTAGTATATGTAATATTTTATCATCACAAAACTGGAAATAATTAAAATAGAAGATAAAAAAATAAAAATGTCCATGAGATTTGGTTCCCTCGTACACTTCACTTTAACCGTTAATTCGGAATTTTCCTAACGCCATTAAACTCCCAATTTAGTCCATCAACTTTGAAAATACTGCAAACAGTCCATCTTTTCTTGCTGCTGACTCTCCCTAACATCCAGAATAATTACAATAGCATGTATTGAACAGCCATACAGGGGACATAGAATAATACAAGAACTAGGAATTTCAAGACTACAAACACTGAAACCCCCAGAGACTCGAATTTTTCTTTTACGTATGCTGAAGCTTTTTCTGCTTCTCGCTCGTTAATCGACATTTTCTGTTTCTAGGTTAAAAACCTTGCTAAAGAGGCGAAGAAAGAGAGGAACGCAATGTCTAAGGAAGTTACGAAGATTAGCAATTATGGGATCTCAGTCTAATTGTCACCAGTTTTGGTCCTATATGGAAATTAGGACTTTATTGTTTTGCTCTGTATGATTTGATTTGAGTTTTGGTTTCAAATAACAGTTATGTACCATCCATAACTGTAGCTACAGCCCCAAAGTTTGTGGGGGGAGGTAAACCTTTTCACCTCTTCTTGTCACTTTTTCCAAGGAAAAGAATATGTACAAGCAAACAGCTGAATAACATGAATGTACGGCTGTTATCGAACCGAACCGAACATAACCGAGCATAAGGTTTTCGATCACTTCGACTAATTTTCGAACATGTTCGTGTTCATTCGTTTAATAATCGAACAAAACTTTTGTTTGTGTTCGTTCGTTTATTGGTGTTTATTGGTTCGACAAGTTCATGTTCGTGTGTTTATATAGTCGAACTTGTTCGTGAGCTGTTCGAATTGTTGACAAGTTCGTGTTCGAATTGTTCGACAAGTTTGTATTCGTGTTTGTTGACTTTTTTCTTAAATACCTTACAAGTTACTTTATTTAATATTCTTTATATATATATATATATATATATCTATATTTATATATATATTATATAGGGTTAATTGCTAAATAAATCTTAATATTTTTTGCGTTTGGCAATTTTATTTCAATCTTTGGTAATTGCAATATAATTTTGGCTTCAATTTACTTATTGCAAGTCTAACCTAAAACCGGTTGGACCTTCAAAAAACTGGTCGATTTGAAGGCGGTTCCTACAGATCGGATCTCATGTTTACCAGTCCACTCTAGATCTAGGAGGAGACTCATCACCGATAGCTGACATTGACGTGGAATTTTCAGCTTTGTGCGTGGATATACATTAAATATGTGGAAATTGTCAACTTGCTACATAGATGACATAAAAACTCGTGTCAATGGAGGACTTGGACACAAAATTGATCCACAAATCCCTAAAATCAATCACTCTGCACCCAAATTTGCAATAAGTAAACTGAAGTCGAGATTATATTGCAATTACCCAAAGGTTGGGATAAAATTGTCAAACGCAAAAAGGTTTAAGATTTATTTAGTAATTAATCATATTATATATTATATTACATGTGTATGTATATAATATATATATATTATAAAACAATTTTTTTTTTCGCGAACGCTTCTTTAGTTCGCGAATTTGTTCGTTTTCCTTAGATAACTAAACGAGTATAATTTTATGTTCTAGTTCAGTTGGATTACGAAACGTATGAGCGAGCTGTATTGAACACGAATGAGCTTTGTTCGCGAACAATTTGGTTCGACAATAGCCCTACATGTATGTGTATGTACACAATATTAATAAATTAAATTGGTATATAATATAATAGGTTGTATAAATAAGGCATTAGGCAATCATCACATAAGTCGTAATAAATTGTGAAAATGAAAGATCGGTTTGGAAGCTGATTTATTTCATTATTCAATTTACAGATAATATATGAGGCAATTTAATTTTGATCACAAGCAATATAAGTGTTGGATATTTTGTGTGAAATTACACGGGAATCTTGCGAACTAATATGTAATTTCAGTTCTTACAAATAATCTAAAAATAGAAAATTACAATTGAACTGAAAAATAAATTACAATTGAAAAATGGAAAGATTTTAGCCGAGGCGAGTAAAACTCTTTCCGCAAGAAGAATACGCCCCGTGTGGCAGCTAACGGTTCAGGCGTAATTTCCCCAAAGATACAACGAAAAACGTCTCTAAATCTGTAGCACACCAGATTTACGAGCTCCGGCGAACGGGAACGGAATCGAGAATTGAGCAGTTAGTAATAAAAAGAATATCTTGAAACAAATAAAAATATCACTTGTTGTTTCTCTTTTGATATTTTTATATCCGATATTGGACATAAATCTATGTTTCTTTCCTTTCTCTTTCTCTTTCTTTCCCCTCTTTTTCTCTTCTGTTTGGTCAGTACATTTTTTCATCTGGCCGAAGGGCCTATTTATAGTGTAATGTGAGCAGATAATGCCTGGCCACTTAGTAGTTAATGTCTGGCAGTTCAATTATTACTCCAAAGCAAAATGCAAGTTGTCATGTGGCCAATTGGAAGAAGAATCTCCACACTTTATTGAGCTGAATTTGCCAAATTGTTCATTAAATTATAATTAATTGTGGGGCCCATATTAATTAATGAAACTCAATTATTATTACAATCCCCCACATGAGTTTCATTAAATATATATATAGACTAGTGTGCTCAATCCTCACAAAATTCTGTTGCATCAGAAAAGGTAGCTTTTGCTTTGAACCTTTCTTAGTAAACATCATCGGATGCACTGGCGGCATAGTGGACATAATGCCTTGAATTATTCCTCCATAGTGTACACCGAGACAATGAAATTCACACAATAGAGTCTTAACTCCATTCCGTTCTATCGTTGTGTCCGTTTTGGCCATGGACAACACAATGAATTCATAATTGTTTACAATTGAAGCGGCTCACTCTTCACACTTATATAGGTGACCTCCCTATCAAGAGTAACATGTATTACTCTACCTTTACAAGGTTAAGGATTCATTGAAAGTCCACATGACATTGAGACTCGACTCGAAAATCAAATTATGAGAAAGAGGAGTTCTTCCTCAGTTAACCTCACCACAATCAACAGGTCATCTTGCACTTGAAGTGCTCTAGGGAATAGCTATGGACATTCTCAACTGAATTTTCATAGCTTAGTTTTCCCTTTGAACCAAGTTCGTGGGTTCTCCACTCAGCATGGTAGGGTTACCACTTTGATCATTCTTTACATTGTGGATTTTTAAGCTCATTCCCTCTAGCAAAACTGTCAATTGATCTCTATTCAATCCTTTCGTCAAAGGATCAGCCAAATTTTTCTTAGACTTCACATAGTCAATGGAAATAATACCATTTGTTATCAATTGACGTACGGTATTATGTCTACGACGAATATGTCTAGAATTACCGTTATACAAGTTGCTTTGCGCCCTACCTATAGCTGCTTGGCTATCACAGTGAATCATTACAGGCGGCAAAGTCTTATCCCAACATGGAATATCGGATAAAAAATTTCTAAGCCACTCGGCTTCTTCACCAGCTTTATCTAAAGCGACGAACTCCGATTCCATCGTTGATCGAGCTATACACGTTTGTTTTGTGGATTTCCACGAAACTGCACCTCCTCCAATACAGAAAACATATCCGCTAGTGGAGCGAGAATCTCTCGAATCTGATATTCAGCTTGCATCAGAATACCCTTCAAGCACGGCTGGATATCTCGAGTATTTTAGCCCGTATTCAAGGGTGTACCTTAAGTCCTTAAGTACCCTTCTCAAAGCATTCCAGTGTTCATGACTGGGATTGCTCGTAAATCTGCTCAACTTATTCACCGGATAGATCAAGTCTGGTCGTGTACAATTCGTGAAGTACATCAGACTCGAATATTCCAACTCAGCCACTGGTTGACCTTTGTTGACTTCAAGATTTATACTGAGATCAAGGGGTGTCTTACACCTAGTCTATGCACCGTCATAGGTATCAAATTTCTTAAGCACTTTCTCTACATAATGAGATTGTGACAAGACAATTCCATCTTGGGTTTTGATAATCCTTATTCCAAGAATAACATCAGCCAAACCCATATCTTTCTTGTCGAAATTTATTTTCAACATTCTTTTCGTATCCATGATCACTTCATGGCTACTCTCCATGATCAACATATCGTCTACATATAGACATACAATCACAAAT